TAATAGAAAGTCATGAGTCAAACAACTTTTGTATAAAATATTTTTTTGTTTTTCAAACGGTTTAGTAAGTATCGACCGCCGGGATACTAATAACTCACCCTGTATAATCGAATCAATGTAGTGATTACCAATCGTTTTAAATTAGATATTAACAGTTTCAAAATATAATTTGTTCCCCAACTCTTAAAAATTAACCGCAAGCGATCCTTGAAAGTTTCGCTTCGACTTTAATTATAGTAAGGTAATCACAAAATCGTTACTAAACATTATAATTTATCGATTCTTTCTCTAATTTAATCTCTATGTTATTAAATATCCTTGTATTCTAGATGCAATCAGCTTTAATTTAAGCTATAATTTAACACTCGTATAAATGAGTGAGATGTGACATATTAGATTATTTTTCTCGATTTTCTTATAAATTTAATCAGCACATTATTACATGTCATTGAAATCTACTTTAATTCAAGATATAATTCATATCTCAACTTGTACAAATGAACCGGAAGTGATTTTTTTGTAAATTCGCTTGGAATTTAATATTTGTGATTACCTTCAAGAACCATAACTACCTACATATTAGTCTACTATTTCAACTATTATAAAACATAAAAAGATAATTATGAAAACAATTAAATTGATTTGCGAAATGGAAAATTTACTACTGATTTATATTAAAGAGAAAGAGATGAGAGGGGAGTCCCTATCTGGTGCAATTATTTGTGAAAAAGCACTGAGAATTTTTAATAACTTAAAAAGTTGAATGTTAAATATAGAAAATATGCGTTTTAATGACTTTAAAGCTAGTAAGGGTTGGTTTGATCGATTTAAAAAAAGGTGTGGTATACACAATATCGTTAGACATTGAGAAGCTGCAAGTGAGGACAGAAGTAGGAAGAAAGATAGGGTAACACTTCTTCTTGGTGCAAATTCTTCTGGGGATATGAAATTAAAAGCGATGTTTGTTTATCACTCCGACAATGCTAGAGTATTTAAAACAAAAAAAGTCAATAAAGAGAGCTTAGGTTACCCTTTACCTTTTTAGCCAATGGACAAACAACACCTTTGGTACTACGGTTATCTCATAAAAAAAAAACTTCCACTTAAAGATCTATTATTACTGGATAACGCCGCTGGTTATGATCCTATCTTGATTTTTACTCTCGATACAAAATTTGATTGGATTACTATAAAAATTTTTCCCCCAAACACAACCTCAATTCTACAACCGATGGATCAGCAAGTAATTGCCAATTTTAAAAAGTTGTATACAAAATATATGTTTTGAAAGCTTTTTAATGCGATGAACGCTGATGATTCTATGACCCTTAAAGAATTTTGGAAAACAAAATTAAATATCTTCGAATGCGTGAAATTAGTTGTAAAATCATGGGATGATCCATCCATAAGGATACTAAGATCGGCATGGAAAAACTTGATGCCTGAAATTATTTATGAAAATAATACAGCGGTAGATGAAGCTCAAGAAATTGGAAAGGAAATTGTGATGATAGGTGCATCTCTTGGCTAAAATGTAGAAGTTGATGGCATAAATGAGTTACTAAAGTCCAATGATGACGTTTCTACAGAAGATTTAAAAGCTTTGGAGAAAATAAATGAAACTATTGACGAATTAAATACGGACAAAGAGGAATCAAATGTAGAATCTGAAGATATTTCTTCTAATACTTTGTTATCAATAATCCAAGCTTGGAATTTCCTTAGAGAAGCAGCTGTTAATAATCACCCGGATAAAGAAATGGTGGTATGAAGTACTTTAGAATACAAAAAAAGAAAAGAAAAAGTCAGACAATTTTGGAAGCGTTTGTTATACGTAAAAAAACCTAAAATACAAAGTTCTCCTCAACCTTCAAGTTCTATTTTAGAGGATACTATGATAAATTTGTAAATACGTTTTCTTTTTTTCTTGTTAAATATATATATTTTCTTATTTTAGTAGTTTCTTATGACACCGTACTGAGAATACGGTGCTTTTATCTTTAATTTTTACTAATTTAATAAACTGGAAGTGATTTTTTAAAGATTCGCTTTGATTTTAATATTTATAATGACCTGCAAAAAACAGAACTACATATTTAAATATTGTTCTCGATCTTTTCATAATTTAATCTGTGCATTATTAAATGTTATTGTAATTTAGATGATCTTAGCTTTAATTTAAGGTATAATTCATATCTTAAGTTGTGTAAATGAACCAGAAGTGATTTTTTTAAAGATTCGCTTTAACTTTAATATTTGTGATTTGATTACCTACAAAAAACATAAGTACGTACGCTCATTTTTCTTGATCTTTTTATAATTGAATGCCTCGCGCGAACAACGTTGCAAACGACAAAAATGTGAAATATGATTTTCTTATGGAACATCTTTGATTATACTAATACTTATCCATATCTTAGGGTTCAAGCAGAAATAATGTTTTTGTCTTTGCCAAACTTATGTTAGTAACCTAGAGTGCTGAACGTAAACAGCGGAACAATGTTGCTAATACCGACATGGCGTCGTTTTAGTCAACAATTCGCGTAAGTTCAAGTGAGTTAAATGATATTAATAAACGTAAAAGAAGAAAAATAGACATTAAAAACAGGAAGGATTTCAAAAGGAAGATGTTAAAAGATGCAGGAAAACCCTACATAAGTCGAAGGGGAAAACCAGTAAGCGGTAAACCGGGACCAAGTCATGTTGGTTGGAACAACGTGCTTTGTGCGTTTAATGTTATTCATGTTACTTTTCTAAACTTTTGTTTGATTAAAGTTGCGTGATTTTAATATGCACATACCTACATAATATCATTTTCGTTTTACCATTCTGTTACAGGATTTCCAGTGTAAATGTAAATATATGGGATGTAAAAATATTACTGAGGAAGAAAAACTAGATTTATACACGGACTTTTATAAGAAAACTTACAATGAACAAAATTTAGTTTTGCAAGGCTGTATGGATGTGATGGAACCTAAAATAAGACGTGTTGCTGAAGAAGTTTCTACCAGGCATTGTACACTAAAATATCCACTAATAACTAAAAATGGACGGTTCAATGTATGTCAGAAATCTTTATGTAACGTGTTAAGTGTCACACGTCGGCGGTTACAGCTGATTGACGATCAAAGGGGCCTTCATCTAAACCGTCCTCATAAAATACCTGATTTTCATATTGATACCATTGAGTTTCACATTACCAGCTTTCCTGCTCAAGAGAGTCATTATTCGAGGTCTTCTAATAAGAAAAAATGTCTTGATCCATCTTTATCCATACAAAAAATGTTTAAACTGTACATAGAGAAATACCCAGACTCACCTATTAAGTACATATAATACATACAGAAACATATTTAAGTCAGACTTTGACTTAAGATTCGGTACCCCAAGATCAGACACCTGTAAGTTGTGTGACAAATATTACATTAAACTTATTGCTACCGAAGATGATGAAACTCGAAATAAAATTGCTGCAGAAGCTGAACTTCATCACAGAAAGGCCGAAAAAGCTTATGAAACCTTGCATAGGGATGCAGAGACTGCAAAACAAAATCAAGATTTTGTAGTTTTGTGTGTTGATTTACAGCAGGTGTTGTTTACACCTAATTTAACACACTCGGATGTTTTCTACCAAAGACAATATTCAAATTATAATTATGCTGTGCATAACATGGGTAATTCACAAGTAACCATGTATTTATGGCATGAATCTGTAGCTAAACGCGGTTCCGCTGAAATTACGTCATGCCTTATTCAGCATGTTGTGCATTATTTCAGTGTACTTCAAGCAGGGCAAGAACGGAAGTTAACAATCTGGTCAGACCGCTGCATTGGCCACAATAATAACTTTAAAATGGTAATATTGTGTACCTATTTAACTTATTTGCGATATTTCTCTGAAGTTAATCAAAAGTTTTTGGTGAGTGGGCATAGTTTTTTACCCTGTGATAGGGATTTTGCTCTGGTTGAGAAGAATAAAAAACTGTGTAAACTGTATGAGCCTGATGATCTGGTGGAGTTCCTTTTGTCGTTTGCTACGTTGTTCGCGCGAAACATTCAATTTTGTCTGTACATTATTATACGTTATTGAAATCTAGATTCTCTTAGCTTTAATTTAAGATATAGTTCATCTCTTAACTCGTATAAATGAACCAGAAGTGATTTTTCAAATATTCGTTTTAGCTTTAGTATTCGTAATTACCTTCAAAAATCATAGCTACATATTTGACTATTTTTCTCGATCGTTTAATAATTCAGTCTCCACATTAATAAATGTTATTGTAATTTAGATAATCTTAGCTTTAATTTAAGATATAATTCATATCTTAACTCGTATAAATTAACCAGAAGCGATTTTTTAAAGATTCGCTTCAATTTTAATATTTATGATTATCAGATTTTTTAGTAAACAACGATTTTAATTGTTGTAATTACTTTCAAAAAACATAACCAATTATTTTAATGTATTTCTCGTTGCTCTTTGATTTGAGACATAATTCATATCTCAACTCGTATAAATGGAGCAGAAGTAATTTGTTTAAAGAAATTATGTGCATTACTTTAATCTAGTATTCAATTTAACTTTTATTATAAGTATGTCTATCAATATTAATTAACGTTTATAACTTGAAATAAGCTAGAAAAGATTATCAGCCACAGCCAGTTCATCAATCACGTCAAAAAATGTTTAAAGAAGTACTGAATCAAAAATTGTCAAAACCATCAATTTATTACTTTTAAAATTCTAATATCAATAAATACATCAATACACTATTAGGAATTCAAAATAATCTCAAAGTGTTCTATTAAAATTGTATTCTTATAAATTTTTCTCAATCCTTTCAAAACAAACCTTATTGTATTGTAATCTCAATTAATTCAAAAAATCTCTCTATCAAACAACCTTCAATCGACTTTAATAATGATTAAGATGGAAGTACTTTTTCCAATCTTTTCTTTGGAGGCCGAAAAATTCTTAACAAACTAAAACCCTAAAATTAACCATCCGAAACCGTATCAACGTCTATAAGAAGTTCATGATCTTGAGTTGAATCTGCGGGATTTTCGGTAGTTTTTCCGCTCTCTTTCGAATGCCTCCATTTCATCCTGCGATTTTGGAACCAAACCTTCACTTGGGCGTCCGTTAAACCCAACGTAGCCGCTAATTGTCTTCTATCTGGTTTCGTTATGTACTTTTGTAGTTGAAATCGTCGTTCTAATCCTTTTCTTTGGAGGTTACTAAAAACCGCCCTCGACCATGATCTTTTTCTTTTTCCGTTATTCGTTGTTGGATTTAAAATTGGTGTTGATGTCGATGTCGTTGTGGGTAAAGATAATCTTACTCCTGTAAAATAAACAAAAATCAACATGATTTTTATGACCCTCATTGTGATGAGAAGAAGAACCCCCAAAAGTCAACGATGACTTTGTAAGGGACTTAATGGTTTTACAATTCTTTCTTTGTGTGTTTTATAGCTCACCAATCGTTTGACCCGAACATAAGAAATATTTGCTATGTTATATCTTGAAAGTTTTTAATAGTAAAAGATAAGTAGACGAAGAGAGTGAGCGGGTAGTAAGTTTATACATAGAAGAAGCGTACAAGCAACGTCAAATAAATGCGCTCGCGCCTCGAAAGTGATGTAAACCAGACCGGTTGCGACCTCAACATTATCGACGCCCTAAATTATCTGCGGCCGGGATGTATCCTATCCTGTCAGGAGTCTTTTACACCAATAAACAATCAGGAAGAACGCCTGGCTCGGCTCATAAGCGGGCCATATGCGTACGATGATGTATTCATATGCTTATCCGCTCCTTCTGTTTACACTTGAATTTATTAGATTCATCGAACCACCAGTCTCTCTTTAAGGTAAACAGTTTCTCTAAGAGGAGGTCTTGAAGGATAATTACTTCCATACGCATTTTAATAAGACACTAAACAAATCTATTAAGACATACTATTTTTAAATTATCTCATTGAATTTGAGCTTTCTCCATTTTACATAACTTAAGATTGATGATTTTTCTTTCGCAGAAACTAAAAGTCGTTAAAACTTGTAATTTTCACGAAAATAAAAAAAGCCTTTGCATATATTACATTTAAGACAACCCGTTGGTAAAAGATACGAATGTACCGCAAAATCAATTTATTATGATTATGAAATCATTTTGTTTCTTTCCTTTCTCTCTCATTTCCGATATATAGATAGATTCGTGTCTATTAACATTCTATAAACACTTAACAATCTTGTATACACAAGCGGGGAACACTTAGGCACCGATGGTGTAAACCAAAGTGTCTGGCGATGTTTACGTTTAAGGAAGCAAGTATTAGGGTCTTCGGTTCGGTTTACAAAACACATAAAATCGAAACGGTTATCTTTCTCTTTTTCGCGTACACTTTATCCTTGTTTGTCGTTTTCGTCGTCTCCGCTTGTCTCAAGCCCTCATAAATGTCTTACCCGGGAACGTCTAGGATACAGAGAGGCAATTAAATGTTAGTAAACAAAGAAAGGGTTGGTACGAGAACCAACTACTGGTTATGCGTGTCTTCATTCGTCGATCGTAAATATTTACGGTCGTAGAAGAATCGTTTAGGCCGTAAACTATTACCGGGGACCTCGGGATTGTTTTTAAATGCGGTAATTGCTTTTAGAAAATGACGTTAAAAACTATTTTGTACTACTATGTAAGGGGTTAAGGGGCACATACAACAACGTTTACACAAACAATATTCTTTGGTAATGAGTTAAATTCAAGGTATTAACAACATCTTGAATTACATAATGTGTGTTAACAATAAAGAGTATGTTGGATTCAAGATTATAAGTTATAATCACTTTCCTAAACTGCCCGGGCTCTGATTATATAACATATTAACGTATCTGAGCAATAAAAATAAAAATATAACAAAAAAATATACCATAAGGAGCAAAATAGAAAATTTAATTCTGGGAGGAGTGATACTCAAGTAACATCTAATTAATAATTGTTGGAGTTAAACGCTTGAGATACAAAATAATATAAGAATCACACCCCGAGAAGACGCTGAGGTGATACTTCGAAATTTAAATGAATTTGATGTTCGTCAACCATGTCTTATTCAACATCTATCTAAGTCTAGGACCCGATTGAAGATGGTCCTACAACCCAACCAATAAAGTCATTATGATGTGCGGTCTGATAAGCAGTTGTGGTACCTTGAAGTTCAACTCAGGCAGAAGATTGAGGGTTCCAGCATGCCATTAACAAGTTAGAAAAGGAAGATCAAGTCAGAAACAACTCGACGTTGTTAGAGAGACAATAAGTTGACTACGGATAAGGAAGATGAAATTTATGTGCCAAATAACCTACAAAGCGTCGCTGAATAACCTCAATACGATCACGATACACCGCATAGATGGGGTTCCGTATTACAGAACCATAACATAGCACACTGTTGACAAATGCTAAGTAAAGGGTTTTTGTACACAAAAAATTCGTGAAATTTTTACTGATTAAGCGAGTTACGTAGAAATTTCTTTACCATGAATTCAACATCATGATGAACTCGCAATTTGGAATCTAATATAATGCCAACATCTTTTACTTTATTCGTGGTACCGTTAAAGTTGTAAAGAAAGTTGAGAAGATAATTATCTTTAGGTCCACCGAATATCATTATTTTCCACTGGTCTACAGTGGTTTTGTTGCCATAGATATAAGATTGATTTTAGATATATTTATGCTCACAATTCACGAAACTATCAATGATTTTGTAAGATTTTCTAAACTCTCGTTTTTTTTTAATCTTTATTTTCATTTTACGTTACAAAAATCGGAAAACAAGAAACAAAATAACAGATATATTTATAATGTCAGTTTTGTTTTGAAAAATTAAGATACATCGAAGTAAATATAGAGGAAAATGTCGAAAACATACAGGGTGTCTCAGCGAGACCGGTCATTAGACGTTTTTAGGGTTCTGGCCAAACAAAAAATTTGAGAATGCAGACTTAAGTATTATCAATTATATTCTCTTCATCTAAAATATTTTCAGATTTCTAGCACTTCCGGTTATACCGGAAGTCGCCACCTACTTTATTTTTTTAAATGGAACACCATGTATATTTTTACATTATTTTCCTTTTTGCAATTTGAACCAGCACTTCTCGAGTTATTCGAATTTTTCTAGAAAAATCTGCTCCAACTGACATTTGTTCAAAAAATCATAGAACACTCAATTTTTGCGATATTAATTTAGGATTCAGAACATGCTTAAACAACATGATGGAGTATGTTTTGGTGCCGAGAACGGCTGTCTAGATCGTTTGGTCACTTTACTATGACACGTTAACTTTTCGAAATTTGGAAGCACCATAACTTCATTTTTTTAAATGGCACCCCCCATATTTTATTACTTAGTCGTCTTCGGCGTCTCATTTTATATCTTTTATATTCCATATGTCCTATGCCTAACATTAACAGTTTGAGAAATAATTAGGGTTTTTTGAAAAATGCTCACATATCATATCGATATTAACCTAGTGTGCCATGGAAAACAAATGTTTAATGACTTATTGATAAACGTCAAAGTCTGATTTACGTTGTTTGATACTTGTGAGTCTAAAACCAGTTAAAATGGATACTAATAACGTAAATAATGTTTATACAAATGAAGAAATCCATAATTTATTTTTTGTGCACGAAAAGTGCGACAAAGTTCTTCGTAGAACTTGCAGAATGTTTAATGAAAATTATCCACATTTATCTCCGATAACAAAAGGTAAATTTAGAAGAATAGAAGCAAATTTTTTGCATTTTGGACGAATTAATCACGTGTTAAACTGACCAAAAAATGTAGTAGATAATGCAACGGAAGAGGTGAATACCTTGGCTTATTTCGAGCCCAGTCCCAACACCTAAATTCGAGCTGTCAAAGAAGATTTGGGAATCACACTACGAACTTTGTCGCGCTTTTCATGCATAAAAAATAAATTAAGAATTTCTTGATTTGTGTAAATATTACTTTCGTTATTGTTATCGATTTTAACTCTTTTCAGTACTAATATTAAGGGACCTAACAGATAATTATTAGCTCACATGCATCAAGTGACGTAAACAAGTGAGTCTTTGGCAAGAACTCATTGAGAAGGCTTGTTTTTCATGGCACACTACGCTAAATATCCATATATGTGTGCATTTTTCAAAAAATCCTAATTATCTCCAAAACTATTAATGTTAGGTGTGAAACATATGGGATATAAAAGATGTAGAATGAGACACCGGAGACGACTAAGTAATAAAATATGGGGGGTGCCATTTAAAAAAATGAAGTTATGGTATTTCCAAATTTCGAAAAGTTAACGTGCCATAGTAAAGTGACCAAATGTTCTAGACAGCCGTTCTCGGCACCAAAACATACTCCATCATGTTGCTTAAGCATGTTCTGAATCCTACAGTGATATCCCAAAAATCGAGTGTTCTCTGATTTTTTGAACAAATGTCTGCTGGAGCAGATTTTTCTAGAAAATTTCGAATAACTCGAGAACGGCCGAATCAAATTGCAAAAAGTAAAGTAATTTATAAACCTTGAAAACAGACAAATCCAAATATGTAAAAATATACAGGCTGTTCCATTTAAAAAAATAACGTAGGTGGCGACTTCCGATATAACCGGAAGTGTAAGAAATCTGAAAATATTTTAGTCGAAGAGATCGTAATTAATAATACTTGTCTGAATTCTCAAATTTTTATTTTTGCCAGAACCCCAGAAAGGTCTAATGACCGGTCTCGCTGAGACACCTGTATATGTTATATTTTCATAAAACACCTTTTATGAGCTTTTCTTTTATAATTTTTCAGGGTACAATCTCTTTTTAAAGACCAGAAGTAATCTGTCATCACGTGACAATCCCATCGACCCTGATACCTTTCCTCCATTACTTTTAGATCCTGGTGAAACCGCCCTCCCTGTTCCTCACTATAATTTCCTAAATTATCCGGAAATTTATTTAGATGATTGCGGAGATAGTGTAACTTGATACTCATATTTGCTCCTAGAGTCTGAAATCTACATATTTTGTACAATTTCTTCATAATTTGGTGCTTTATGGTTACCTAGGAAGTTTTCGTCTACCAACACAAAACTTTTCCATGCTTTTCTTTCCGGAACAGTCATCACTTTAATAAAATCTGTGTCTTTTATCAATTGCCGTATTTGAGGACCATCAAATATTCCACCTTTAAACTTTTCCATACTAAGCTTTGGAAATTTTCTACAATTGTAATTAAAACAATCTCCTTCCTTGTCCAACGCTTTTACAAATTGCTTTATCATTCTTAATATGTAATGGTGGAAGTATGATTTTGTCTCTGCTCACCAACGGCTCCCTTATTACATTGGCTTTACCGACAGTTAAAGAAATTTTTACAGGCCAAACATCTTGTTTCCAATGAAGTTGCTTTGCTCTACTGTCCCACATACAACTGAAGCAAGGGTATTTCGTGTATCCACTTTGTTGACCAAGTAAAAAATTAACCATTTTCAAATCCACACAGATCGGCCATTGATGCTCCGAGTAATTAATTTTTTCAAAAATAATTTTACATTTTCATATTCTTCTTTGAGTTTTGTTGAATGGGCAATTGGAATTGATGTAAATTTATTTCCATTGTGCAGTAAGACGCATTTTAAACTTCTTTTACAACTGTCAATAAAAAACGACACTCAGTAAGTTTGTATTCTCTTAAACCCATGTCTAGAAGCAGCTTCGCGATATTACAGTGATATGTATATTACAGTACACCTTCCTTCATTTTCACTAAAAAATTGTAATAACTCACTTTCTCGCGTTCTGTATGTTGTAATTGTTACTGTAACTGCTGGAGCCAATAAATTTTTTTCTTTCAATCTTGAGGCTAACAGTTCTCATCCTTGTTTTGATAAATTGAGATCACTGAGCTCATTTTGAGAAAATAACTACGGCGTAGATGTTTCACCCTCCCACTTACTTCCACTGGTAGACTGTCCCGATTTCTGTGAATTTGGCAACATCTTTGTTTCTGAGGGCATGGGAATTACTTTTGAAACGTAAATAGGACGAGGGAGATTTTCACTGTGTAGAACAGGACATTTTGTAGACTGTAAGTCTGGAAATCTCCACGTTTGATTTCGATTAAAACCTTTAGCATCTACTACGCAACAATCAGCGAAATGATTCTTAGGCTCCATCCAGATCATAGGAATATCAAAGTCTAATCCAGAACGATCTCCTTTTTTCCACAACCGTAAAGACTCAACACAGGACTTACAAAGTGTATGAGGAAGCCATGATTTATCTAGTTTGTCCATTTTAAAACCGAAATATTCAACATAAGTCTCCTCGACAAAGTCTGTGATATTTCTTTTTTGTTATATAAATATCGCAAATATAACAAAATAAAGCACTCCTATATTTACACTTTCTTCGTGACGAACTCATATTTTAAAAGACAAGACAAATATATTAGAATGGACCATTCAGTAATTGAAACAAAATTTTAACACATGACAACTTATCCAGATTTACGTGTAAGTACTTCAATATTGTCAAATAACAGATCTCAGCTGTTCTGCGGAGTAAGGGGTCTGAGAGTGGGGATCACGTGGTGTTTGTATGCGCGAAAAAGTTGCGCAGAAGCCTAATCATGACTTTTTTTTATTTTATTACAAACAAGCCGATAATTGTTCAAAATATGATATATGTAAAAATCATTAAAAACAAGAGCACATTCAGTACTTTCATGAATATATTCGTAATCTGGGCACTTGAAAACATAAAAATTTGCAAAGATATGCAGAGCAACCAGAGCTGGGTCGGATACAGGAAGAAAGTATTCGAGTACCGGATACCGGATACTTACNTCGCATGGGCAGCCTACAGGAAACTTAGAGACATCTTCATGAGCGATATTCCTGTATATTTGAAAAGAAAGGTTTTCAATCAAAGCGTACTTCCTTTGGTTATGACATAGGGTTCCGCAAGTTTAACATTAACGGTGGCCATTACCAGGAGGCTCAAAGTAACGCAAAGAAAGATGGAGAGGTCGATGCTGGGTGTAATCCTGAGGGACCACATACGAAATGAAGACCTACGAAGAAGAACTGGCGTAAATGATGCGGTCAACATTGTGGCAAAGCTCAAGTGGAACTGGGCGGATCATCGTCGCAAGCATGAAGAATGAGCAGTGGTTACCTGATAATAATACGTCTTCGATCGTTGACAATTCCTCGTCTTCATCATGTTCCTCTACATTTTTGTCCGAATCTGTTCTATTTTTACTTGTACCACTTTTATATGTACTGTTTGGGTATTTACCCTAAGCCGGGGTAAATACCCAGATAAATACCCATTTTATAAATACCTACTCGCCGGGTATTTACCCAGCGCCCATCACTGTACACCGCATACATGAGGTTCCCTATTACAGAACCATAACATAGCACACTGTTGACAAATGCTAAGTAAATGGTTTTTGTACACAAAAAATTCGTGAAATTTTTACTGATTAAGCAAGTTACGTAGAAATTTCTTTACCATGAATTCAATATGATGATGAACTCGCAATTTCCAATCCAATATAATGCCAAGATCTTTTACTTTATTCGTGGACCAGATAACAGTACCGTTAAAGTTGTAAAGAAAGTTGAGAAGATAATTATCTTCAAGTCCACTGAAGATTATTATTTTTCACTGGTCTACAGTGGTTTTGTTGCCATAGATATAAGATTGATTTTAGATATATTTATGCTCACAATTCATGAAACTATCAATGATTTTGTAAGATTTTCTAAGCTCTCGTTTTTTTTAATCTTTATTTTCATTTTACGTTACAAAAATCGGAAAGCAAGAAACAAAATAACAGATATATTTATAATGTCAGTTTTGTTTTGAAAAATTAAGATACTTCGAAGTAAATATAGAGGAAAATGTCGAAAACATATATGTTATATTTCCATAAAACACCTTTTATGAGCTTTTCTTTTATAATTTTGTGACAATCCCATCGACCCTGATACCTTTCTTCCATCACTTTTAGATCCTGGTGGAACCGCTCTCCCTGTTCCTCACTATAATTTCCTAAATTATCCGGAAATTTATCCAGATGATTGCGGAGATAGTGTAACTTGATACTGATATTTGCTCCTAGAGTCTGAAATCTGCATATTTTGTACAATTTCTTCATAATTTGGTGCTTTATGGTTACCTAGGAAGGTTTCGACTACTAACACAAAACTTTTCCAAGCTTTACTTTCCGGAACAGTCATCACTTTAATAAAATCTGTGTCTTTTATCAATTGCCGTATTTGAGGACCATCAAATATTCCACCTTTTAACTTTTCCATACTAAGCTTTGGAAATTTTCTACAATTTTAATTAAAACAATCTCCTTCCTTGTCCAACGCTTTTACAAATTGCTTTATCATTCCTAACTTAATATGTAATGGTGGAAGTATGATTTTGTCTCTGCTCACCAACGGCTCCCTTATTACATTGGCTTTACCGACAGTTAAAGAATTTTTTATAGGCCAAACATCTTGTTTCCAATGAAGTTGCTTTGCTCTACTGTCCCACATACAAATGAAGCAAGGGTATTTCGTGTATCCACTTTGTTGGCCAAGTAAAATATTAACCATTTTCAAATCCACACAGATCGGCCATTGATGCTCCGAGTAATTAATTTTTTCAAAAATAATTTTACATTTTCATATTCTTCTTTGAGTTTTGTTGAATGGGCAATTGGAATTGATGCAAATTTATTTCCATTGTGCAGTAAGACGCATTTTAAACTTCTTTTACAACTGTCAATAAAAAAGCGCCACTCAGTAGGTTTGTATTCTTTTAAACCCATGTCTAAAAGCAGCTTCGCGATATTACAGTGATATATATATTACAGTACACCAGTCCTTCATTTTCACAAAAAAATTGTAATAACTCACTTTCTCGCGTTCTGTATGTTGTAATTATTACTGTTAGAGCCAATACATTTTTTTCTTTCAATCTTCAGGCTAACAGTTCTGATCCTTGTTTTGATAAATTGAAATCATGTATTAAATCACTGAGTTCATTTTGAGAAAATAACTTCGGTGTAGATGTTTCACCCTACCATTCACTTCCACTGGTAGACTGTCCCGATTTCTGTGAATTTGGCAACATCATTGTTTTTGAGGGCATGCGAATTGCTTTTGAAACGTAAATAGGCCGAGAGAGATTTTCATTGTGTAGAACAGGACATTTTGTAGACTGTAAGTCTGGATATCTCCACGTTTGATTTCGATTAAAACCTTTAGCATCTACTACGCAAAAGGAACAATCATCGAAATGATTCTTAGGCTCCATCCAGATCATAGGAATATCAAAGTCTAATCCAGAACGATCTCCTTTTTTCCACAACCGTAAAGACTCAACACAGGACTTACAAAGTGTATGAGGAAGCCATGATTTATCTAGTTTGTCCATTTTAAAACCGAAATATTCAACATAAGTCTCCTCGACAAAGTCTGTGATATTTCTTTTTTGTTATATAAATATCGCAAATATAACAAAATAAAGCACTCCTATATTTACACTTTCTTCGTGACGAACTCATATTTTAAAAGACAAGACAAATATATTAGAATGGACCATTCAGTAATTGAAACAAAATTTTAACACATGACAACTTATCCAGATTTACGTGTAAGTACTTCAATATTGTCAAATAACAGATCTCAGCTGTTCTGCGGAGTAAGGGGTCTGAGAGTGGGGATCACGTGGTGTTTGTATGCGCGAAAAAGTTGCGCAGAAGCCTAATCATGACTTTTTTTTATTTTATTACAAACAAGCCGATAATTGTTCAAAATATGATATATGTAAAAATCATTAAAAACAAGAGCACATTCAGTACTTTCATGAATATATTCGTAATCTGGGCACTTGAAAACATAAAAATTTGCAAAGATATGCAGAGCAACCAGAGCTGGGTCGGATACAGGAAGAAAGTATTCGAGTACCGGATACCGGATACTTACAAAGTATCCGGATACTTTTTTAAAAAAGTACGGATACTTTCTCCATAAAAGTATCCGGATACATCTATCCGGCAATTTTCGGATACATTCTCAAATACTTTTAAAATGACCTAAATTATTGTTAAACTAATAAATTGTCATGCATATTTTACTTATAGTGACTCCTAATCTTTTCTCCTATATTTTTCTCGAGTGGTCTCTCGTTGGGGAAATTTAGTGTACACTTGCTACGAGAGGGCTCTTTGAATTTTTTCTAAAAGGGGAAATTTAGTGTACAACAAACTTCCAACATGTAAAGCCACAATTATTGATGTAGTCACAAAACATGTACAATAGTAGAAGAAACTGAAAAAAAATGGGAATTCAAACTCTCTGGTGTATATGCACGGGTGTGACAATAGAATAGGAAATAAAAAAACTCTATTAATAGGTATCCGAACACCGAAAAAAGTATTCGGATACCGGATACAAAATTTGAAAAGTATCCTGTAGAGAGTATCGGATACAAAATTTGAAAAGCATCCTGTAGAGAGTATCGGATACTCGAAAAGTATCCGGGTACTGTATCCGGATACAGAAATATCCGGATACTAACCAACTCTGAGGGCAACAAAAAAAATTTTTTATTGTTGTAGAGCTGTGTAACGTTTCCAGGTAAATGTAATTTTTTGGCATTTGTCATAATTTAGGTAAAGTTTGTTGAAGCGACAGTAGTCAGGCAGGCGCTTAAAACCTTCTTATAGTCTAAGACATTCCAGATTATCGTCAGCATAAAGTAAAAACTTTGAAAATTTAAAACAAAAAGAATTATCGTTTATGTACATTGCAAATAGTAAGGGTCCAAGATGACTGCCCTGAGGCACACCGAATGTGATAGGTTTGTAATCAGATACAAAGTACCAATCCTGACCGCCTGACTTCTGTTAGATAAATACGATATAATCCAGTGAACAAGACCATCTGGAATATCAAAGGAGAAAAGTTTCTGAACAAGAATAGTATGATCGATTTTGTCACAGGCGTTGGAGTAGTCGGTGTAGATTGCGTCAATCTGAGTATCCTCGTTTAAAGCAGAATGAATGACGTTTACATAGGACAACAGATTAGACTCCTCCGATCGTCCAGACAGGAAACCATGTTGTTCATTGATTATAGAGTGTGAAATAGAGAGACTAAGATATTCGTGGATAATTTTTTCAAAGACCTTGGGGATAGCTGAAAGGATAGGAATAGGACGGTAATTGGATACCAACTGTTTATCACCGAATTTAAATATTGGAATAACGAAAGTCGTTTTCCACATACAGTGTGTTAATTAATTATCGTAACTCACGTGACCTGTGTCATATTGGCTGCATAGCTCAATACGTAGTGGTAGCTTGGATAATTAATTTAATTAATTAAATTAGTAACAAGATCGTGTGTTATTGTTGTTAGCTTGGATAATTTTAAATTAGTAACCAGATGTTGACAGCTGATCGTGCGTTATTGTTGTGATTATCGTACGCTTTGCGAGTTTTCGTATTTTCTTTGTTCTTTAACCGTTTTTTGCTGCCTTTAGTTTTTTGTAGAACTATCGTTGTTTCTAGCGGTTGCTTTTAGCGGTAAGTCAATAAACAAAAAATTATTTTAAATAAAAGGACAGAAAGATGCAGGCATTTCGCTAACGAATTTTGAAATTGAATCGGATTTTGAAACTTAATAAGTTTCATTCGTATCATGTCTCTCTACACTAACAATTACATGGCGATGATTTCGAAAATCGTGTACAATTTTGTACTTGGGCTATGGAAAATTAAGATTGAATGAACATTTTTTCTTCAATGTACTATTTTCCGACGAATCATTTTTTTTTCATGAATAAAATAATTGGATTTTTTTTATTGATGGCAATTTGAATGGCAGAAAGTATCGGAATTTGTTATTGAACGATTTACCGGTTTTGTTGGAAGACCTTATTCTGGAGCAAAGACTTGCGCTATGGTATCAGCATGATGGATGTCCATCTCATTATGCTCTAGCCGGAAGAGAAGTTTTTGACGAAATGTTTCCTGAAAAATGGATAGGACGTAATGGACGGTTGAATTGGCCGGCTACATCACCCGACTTAACTTCTCCCGATTTCTTTCTTTGGGGTTACCTCAAAGAGAAAGTTTACAACCACGTTCCAACAACACTAAACGATATGAAAAACCGCATCAGAGTAGCTTGCGAATCAAAAACTGAAGAAATGTTTAGAAGTAACTTTATAAATTTTAATCAATGTTCTAAGGTGATTTCAAAGATGAAAAAGAATTTTAGTACTATTTTACGATTAATTAAATCGTTTATTAATTACATTTTGAAAAATGTTTTATTTTTCTTTTTGTGAAATATTCATAACGCAGAATTTAAGAAAAAAA